GTTTTTTTGGCCTATCACCTATCGGCCTGACCTGACCTGTACAGCACCTTGTGAATATATTTCTGTGAAAGGCGCTTTATAAATTAAAACTTTACTTACGTACTTACCTGCCGATTCCAATTTTAGAATATACTGATTTTTTTTTAATAAAAGTCAGATGTTATAACGTCACAATACGCCTTCAAAGTTCCAATAATATTTTATTGAAGAACATTGAACAACAACCTTGAAACATTACAAACTTGTTTTAACTGGACAACAGCCATCTCTCACCGCAGAGCAAAAGGGGACAGTGGCTGATTTTCAGACCTTTCTGGAGGTAGATAAGATCACTTCTCATGTAAGTATCGGGCAATCATCAATCCCCAAAAGTGAATGAAACCCCTAGTAAAAATATAGAGCTTTTCTGCTCAAAATTATTGTTAGTTTTTAGTACTGCTCAGAGAAGTGCTTCAAAACATTATTTAAAAATATATTTAAAAAATGTCCTTTAATAGAACCATATACAAAAGGTATTTATTCATTATATTTTGATCTATTAACTTTGATATTATATTATTTGTGATTTTTCTACCAAAGCACTATAGTTGTCCCCCTACACGACTTATGACTTCATCCTCTGTTCAATGTGATGGGTCACATATAACATCTAAAAYGTATGGTCATTAATGTAGGTCAGGGCATCAAAACTAGGGCTGCAACAAATATTATATTGGTTGTAGGTTCAAATATTTTAGAGGAGTCGACAATCATTTTAATTTGTCTCTTGCTTCCTGTTGGTGCACCTCCTGCTCTGGGCTCCAGCTCACCTGCTGTAGTCTGCCCTCTTGTGAATATCACCCTGATGTCTCTGCATTAATGTTAAAACTTACAAATCTGAAACTATTCAAATGTATTCATCATTTTACTTAATGTGACCATCACTAAAAAAATTAACCCATTTATCAACTGAGATTAAAATGCAAGTAATCTTGGTCATTTTACACTAAGAACAAATATGTAACAAAAAATAGCCTCTGAAAGTAAATAATTAAAGATCAAATAAAATAAAATAATAAATGTGTACAGTTTATAATAAGAATGATTAGTTATTGCAGTGCAACACTGTATTATTCTGAAATCCGAATAAACACTAATATTACGTGTCATGGGTGCAGAAACTCCCTCACGCTCATTTACTAGCCAGTCAGTCAGTATGATATGAAGAGAGGAGAAAAATATGCCATTATTGTCACGCAACTGCATCAACAAGACACAATGTCTAATATCTCATTTATTATAAATCAGGCTTTAGATAGCTAGAGCTGCATTTTGACAGCTGTGCAGGAATTCTGTTCGACAGAAAACATCTGCGGCCACTGCCTCCAATATCCAGGTCTAAAAATCACACAAATGATGAACTATTTTATAAAATTGGTCAAAACCCGTCTGTCTTCATTTGTACATCCAAGGTGGGTGCAAAGCAGGTGGGGTTGGTACTAGGGCTGTGTATTGGCAAGAATTTGGCAATACGATACATATCATGACAGAGGGGTCAYGATACGATATATCCCGATATACTGCGATACTGTAAGCAAGGCGATATATTGCGATTTTTTTTGTCCAAAAATTCTATTAAATAAAAACCTCTTACAGGGAAAAAAATGAACCAAAATTCATTGTCTCAGAAAATTTTAATATTACATAGACATACTTTTGATACATTTAACTGTGTTCTGCTTTGTATGTATTTGATTTTATTTGTTTCACATTTCATCCATGTTTTCAATTATTAGACTAAATTTGACAATAGTTTGAAAATATATTTTTGCAAGTTTTTTATATTAATTTACAATATGGTTACCCAACACTTAACAATAGCCGAGCCAAATGGCTGACTCACTGCTGCCAACTAGTGGTCAGAGGCTGAACTACAACATAAAAATGAACGGCTGGCAGGAAAGTTGACATTTTAAACTTAATAAAAAATCGATACAGGGCTTTAGAATATCGATACAGTATCAGGAAATGAAATATCGCAATATTTCAGTGTATCGATATTTTCTTACACCCCTAGTTGGTACAGTAAGGGCAAAAAGTATAGCGTGCATGAATAAAAGAAAAACTCTGCAAGCCGAGCACACAAAAACTGGTTGTCGTTTTCAACCACTGGCTGCTTGGCTGCATTTGCAAACACTCAGCTGAGTGAGACAACTTCACCTGTTTGCAACTCAGTGAAATACCGACCAGAACAGTAAGATAGGTTAAAGTAATTTTTGATTAACCCACAAAGCCCAAGCACTAACCACAWGGTCAGTTTGTCTTCACCCACCACCATTCAAGTGCAAAATCTGCCTCTAAAGCTGTTTTCTTTCAGGATCTGTGTGAGGGGAAAAAATGCAAACAAGTGCATTTCAGAGTGAACAAGCAAAGGTTGCAGCTCAGGTGGATTCCTTCTTTCCAGTCAGACATTAATATATACAGTTTGTGACAGTTGGAGCAGCCAAACCTCAGCTCAAAGCTTGTAGACAGGAAGACACTCACATTCCTAAAACACACAGCAGCAGAAAACAAAAGAAAACAAAAAGAACTTCTTCAAATCCAGTGCTGTGTGATGATTTACAATACAGACTGTCATGGCAAAGTAAAAACTAAAAGCAGTGAAGCAGAGGTTTTAATCTGCTGACTTAGCAAGTGCAAGTGAGCTTGAGTTAACCAACAATCTGTTTTCTGCTTTGCAGTATTTTCTTATACACCATATGTGCAGTAAGTCTCATTTTTACAGACATCACGTAGGTTTGCCACACTACAGTTTTAAAGCTTAGTTGGAGAAGCTTTGCAAATGATTTGAGAATGCCTTACAAAGTCAACACGTCAGGTGTGTGTTTACCTGTGTTAAGTTACGTGACGTGCATGACTTAAACTTTCGCAGGTCGAAAGAGAATCCGTGTTGATGCTAGTGAAAGGTTCGATCAACATAAGCACAGATCCCACTTGAAAAACACTTTTAGACAAGCAACAAAAAAACCCAGGATAGATAAAAGCACTGATCATAACACAACTCTAATCTAGTTAAACACTGGCTAACTTTGGACTTTCTCCATATTAAGGCTGCCTTGCAGGCTTAAACCCTAAATATTCAGCTCTAAAACCGTATTTCTGAGCTAGGGTGTATTTACACCACCTGTCACATTGAAATAATATCGATCAGACACTTCAATAGCAACAAACAGCAATGCAGTGCCAATAATCTGCAACGAAAGCCAAGTCTGCTAGCTACCTATCGATAAACTAGCTAGCTAACATACTACAGAATTTAAAAAAAATCGCTATTTTAATATTATTTGAACATCCTATGTTAATACTAGCTGAATGTATCTTCAGCTATGTTAAAAACATCTAACAATTAGCCAGGTGATTATGTTACTGTTAGCACAAGCAAGAAAACGCAGCCCTTTGACGTGAAAGCGGACATGGGTCTAGCAAGCTAACGCTACAAACTCGTCCAAAAAGCCTGCAGTGCTAGCCGGCTTGCTAAGTAGCTTACTTAGCTGCTCGGCTAATTGTTCGCCGTGGCGGGTGGCTGGTCAAGGAAAGGGGCTGAATGTGGAGGACACATTCCTAAATTATGTGCTTTAATAATGCCAGAGATTGGTTCGTAATAGCTTCCCACAGGAACAACGCCGTTGTTTTTACCTTGTTGGGCGTTGCGCTCCTCTCCGGGCTGCGGTTCAGTAGCGTCACGGTGGTCAGTAGCCGTGTAGGCCCCGTACTCCGCTACTGCTCTGCTGCCATCTCTGTACGGAGGCTTCCGACGAGCAACAGCCGGGCGACAGGCGCGCCACCCCAAATACTGCTGGGTAATAACACGGGACAGCAGGGTTACCGAGCGAAACCTGGGCAGCTTCATGGTTCTGATGGTATAAATGCAGAGTGTCGCTTCATTTTTACTGCTAATACACAACTGAATCAAAGCAAGAGTTCCCTATGCTTTTTGTTTTAAGTAAATAATAGTAAATTGAGTGAAATCAGCTTAAAATTAGACATTAGTTGATTACATTTTTAAATGAGCAGTGAGTGATATTTTTTGCTTATCACCAAAATAACTGATTCAATAATAATAATAATAATAACAATAATAAAGAGTACAAGTGTTTGAAAAGTACTGACAGTAAAAGTATTGGCAGTGTTTAAGTAAACTACTTTAAGCTTATTACTAACTTTAATTGTGAATAAAACAGATTTATGAGACTTGCAAGTCATTGCTTGCTTGTTTACATTTATCTCACCTGTCAAAACTATAACATCATGGCAAAAATACAAAAAATAACATTAAATAAATATTTAATTTAAAAAATTGTCAATGAGTTGTGCTTATATAGCCCATTTCTAGCCAACAAGGCTGCTCAAAGTACTAAGAACAAAATCTGTGCTCKTATTTACCCATCCATTCATCCAGCGCTCTACATCGCTTTAAAGTTAACCTGAATGAATCTGTAGAATTTAATCAATACTTGGGCACTGAGGGCCCAGGGATACTGCAGATTGCTGGAATCAAACCTACAACTCTCATTGGAAGATGAGCACTTCTTGCTCATGTATATAAACTTCTCTGGCATAAAACACTTCTTGTCCTGAGATCACAGTGCAAACATCTCCATCTATGGGTTAGTAAGGAGTCTGAAGTACACACTTACAAATAATATGTATAACCTAATAACTCAGTAGTGAYGAGTGAACCCTAACCTCATTACCAAACTCATCCATCACCCTATGCTGCTGCAGGRTAATGTATATCCTCTATAAGCACTTAAAGGTAGTGGTATAGTTGCACTTATTGAAGATTTGATAACAGAASCTGTCTGACAGAAGGACCTCCTTCAGAGTATAGTGCATGTAATAAACTAAAGCCTCAACAAAGTTTGCTAATCCACTTTTTTAAAGCAGTTATATCATGCAAAATTCCCTTTTTTACCTACTAAATGCATTTTGTTCTGTTCTTGGATTCTTTTACTTGTTTTAGTTGGGTTTATTATTATTATTATTTTAGCTTAGAGATGTTTTTCTGCTTCTTTTAGTTCATGTTCTACCTCTTAGCTAATGTTCTAGTTTTTATTTTTTAGCAAATTAGTTTAGCTTCCTAAGGCAAATTTCAGCAGTCATTCAGCACTCAGCACTCACAGACTTCTGAAACAAAAAAAACTCAGTTTATCTAATTTTATTTATTGCTATTTGTTTTGTAATGCACAGTTAGTTGATTTGGTCAATTGGCTTTTAAAAGACGCATAAAGAACTGATCAGGTAACATTTTTAGGGGTGACACCCCTGCAATAGTTCCTCGTGGCCTTTTGGGGAAAATAATTGCCCATCTTTGCCTTAAATGGTCATATTTCCTTCCGGATTTAAAAATCTCTTTCTCTCTAAAGCCTATTTGTTCAGTCAGATGAAATATATCTGAATGATTCAATTTGAAAATTGGAAACAAAAATGATCAACACCTGTATTTCATTTTCTGAATATATAACCTTTTAAACAGATCTCTGCAGATACGACTCAGTAACCACAAGCAAAAAGTACTAAAACTGACAAGTTAATGAGCGTGTTKGTGTCTTGGAGCTTATTTCCTGACAGGTGTGGGAAGTGCCTTGGGGCGTTGCTGCCTCTTGATTTGCTYGTATTATTTATGATAAATGCATGAAAAGGTTGTGCTCCAACAGTGCTGTTTCAGTGTTTCAGGCGGTGCTGGGCTGCAGTGTGTGGAGCGTACAGTGGTGCTTTTTATTRCAGAAACTTATAGTTAGAATTAGGACGATAAACTTTGAAGCAAAATAACAATAAAATCTGCATATGCAGCTTGTCTCATTAGTTGTGCCGTTTTGTATCCAAACTGGCAATTTATTTCTTTGAACAAAAMACAAAACAAAAGTGCATTAAAGAAAATACATTTTTTGAGTGACTAAACAGTTTGGGCTGAACTGAATACAGCAGTGGTTCCCAAACTTTTTATCTTCTGACCCATAAAATATCCATGGCAAAAACTTGTGACCCCAAATATTACTGGTAGAGTTTGCATGTTCTCTCCGTGCATGCGTGGGTTCTCTCCGGGTACTCCGGCTTCCTCCCACAGACCAAAAA